ATATATATATATATACACGGCTCCTTAGTTTTTTTTCCAAATAAAAAAGAAGATCAGAAAGTGGCAAGAGGAACCTATTAAACCCCATACAACTCACACAAAAAATAGAACCTTAGGTTCCTCTTCCAAGAAAAGAAAAAACAACTAACTCCACGAACGAACCTAAAGAAAAATAAAAACCAATAAATCAGATTAAAGTAAATCAACATACACAAGATGCATAAGAACCATACGAATATTCATAGAAACAATAGCATAAGTAAGATAACTTCCAAGCTTTGCAGCCCAATTAGCAACTCTGTTACCATCCATTCTTGTATGAGTTCAACACATGTTCATTCTTTAGGCTAAATTCGCAATCTTCTTCATTTGTATATTTATGCTCCAGTGATGTTCTTCCTGCAACCTGCAATTCTTCCATAATAATAAAGAATTTGTTTCTATATTGATAAATTTCCAACCATATTTTTTAGCAATCAACAAACCAAACACCATAGCATCTGCTTCAGCAACTAAAGGGGATATAGTAACAGTCGAAGTAGAAAACCAACAAATAACTGAACCTATAAAATATCTACAAACACCACCAACTCCAGCTTTATTAGTCTTCCAAATCCCATCTATATTAATTTTAACATAAGGAGCATAAGGTTTAGACCAACAAACAGAAACATTCCTAATAACTTGAGAATTAAGATCAATCTTGAATATAACATAAATATCCTTCAACCAATTAGAATTATTCCCCCTATAACCATTAAAAGTTAGGCTATTAGAAAGATAACAATTAATCATATTAGAAGTACGATTAAAATTAGGAATCTTTGACTAAGTTTAATCTTGTTTCAGGTAAACTAATAAACTAAAAAACAGTAGATGGTAAATTAGCAAAAAAAGCATGCCCAAAGGACTTCCATTCTTCATAGAAATCTACACAAGCATTATATTTACCCCCATTCGGACTTTTATTTAAAAGTCCAACAACTTTTTTGCTAAATTTGCTCCACAAACCTGCATTTAAGAAAAAGATAATTGATAATTTACTCTTCTTCTCTACATAATAAATAACAAGAAGGGGTTCTAAGAATCTTGAGTTTAAGGATATCATCCGTAGGTAAGATATTATGAAGGAGCCTTCATATAAAGAAAGATTATGAAGGCTTCACCCAAGTATTCCAATTCCAATTAAGGTTCATACTCTGAAAAGATTCAAAGGAATTAACAAAAGTCTTAGCAATAGTCTCTCCAATCTTTCCTTTAATCTTAGGAATATCCAAATTCCCATTTTTAATAGGAAGTCTGGAAATGAATTTCATATCATTAAAACTAACTAATTGCCTTAACATAACAAAGTTCCACTATCGGCACTATTTTTGGTGTGGGGTTTGCCCGTAAGAAGCTGTCGGTCATCGGAATTGAAATCCTATTGTCCGCTTCGGAAGGCGTTTTTTAAAAAATTTTAGTTTTGAAAAAGATGAAGTCAAACTGACCCCATAATTTTCATGGTTTAGATGAAAGAGCGCTTTACCTCAAATCCTGTACCTATCCCTAAGGATGAACACAAGAGTTGAGGGTGAGGCTCGATCAAATAAACTAAAGAAAGTTATGATATCCGTTTGGTCTGCGAAACCAATGTATTGGCCGACAAGTTCCCCTATTTAATATAAGGAATTAAATAGGATTTATATTATGTTGAGTTTGAAAAAAGCTTCCTATAAGGGCAAGCCCCTATAGTTAATTACATC